ACATAGGATGTTATCAGAGAGGCATTGAGTCTTACAGTGACTGATAGATGGTCTTCAATAAGGAGAATCTCTCTGCTCTTTGTCAGAGATGTGCAGGTTGTCTGAACCTAAAAAATGCAGCCTGTGTCCTCTGTGTCTGCAGATGTGTTTTGCTAATTGACAGTATGATGTTACTCAAATCAGTCCTGGTAGTATAATATCACATTTGTGTTTGCAGAGGAACAAATAAGACCTCTCTGACAAGAGGTCTCGAAAAGAGACATAATCTATAGTATTTTATAAAGATCTAATTTTCTATAAGCCTGGAAGATCTGTGGTGGGTAAGAGCTTGTTATTTGTGCATCACTCTTGTATACCTCTAAGGGGAATTCAAGAATACTTGTTATACTATAAACACGGTAATAGATATTTCAGGGAAAAGATTTCTGAATTTGCTCTGGCAGCTTGAAGGTTTGACTATTTTTTATCTGGGTAGCAGAGTCCTGGTGAAGATTGCTGCTAGAATAATCGTTTCCCTGTCCGTAGATGTTGGTAACACTTTTAGCCAGCAAAAAACTAAGGTTTTGAGAAATGTCTAAGCAGTTTCTTCATGACCAGTCGTGAGCTTTAGCTGAAGACTGTTGTTTCTTTGCTTATTTTTTTCCTTCTGAAGTGACAGATAACAAGAGCAGTGAAACCCACTGCAATATTTCCCTTCCCCTTTTTGCAGACTCTCTCCATTCCCTACGCCTAAGTGCTTATGACAGACTTTTATTTTATGTTTTATATTAAAGAGCGATTTATGATTAAATGTTAATGAAATAGAATTTTCACTGTGCTTTCATTATATTCTACTAGTTTGAACATTTTTCAAAGCAGCACACCAAAACCCACTGTTTTCTATGAATAAATAATAAAAAGCTTGTCTGTACATTATCATTCATGCATTCTCTAGTTGCCCCATTGGTAATTTGTCTGCCAGTGTAAAGTGGGCACTTCACATTAAACAGACCTTAACTAAAGCTAGAATTAATGTTGTGATTCTATGTAGTTCATCTTCTCAAATCTATAAAATTAAGCCAGTTGTACAGAAATCCTCACTGAATCTAGTCATACACACATACACACACACAAAAACATCTTGATGTCCTACAAGTAAAGGATTTTAAGTGTCTTCTGCATCATTGCCCAAAATATTCCAGAGGAACCCTCTCAGCATTTGGGAGCTGTGCTTATAAACACAAGTCTGAAAGGGTGCTATGTTGCAATACAAGTTGTCAGTGAAATTGAAACTAAAAAGCTTAGCAAAGGTATTTATTTTTAAAGAACAAAAAGTGGAAAGGGAAAGGTAGGTGGGACTTGTTAGGGAGTGGAAGGTACTACTTAGCTAAGCCTAATGTTGCTTTATAGTGGGTGGGGGAAACAATAGTTAACCAAACTGTTATCAAAAAGGGAGCAGTGTCAAATCTTTTTATTCTTGTAAATTTAACCCACATGGAGGTAGCT